CAGCTCAGAGCCTGGAGCCTGCTTCAGATTCTGTGTCCCTCCCTGGCTCTGCCCCTCCCTCGCTCATGTGCCCTCTCAAAAATAAACGTTAAAAAATATATATATTTATTATTTATTATAAATATATTAGGACACACTGAATGTCCCTCTTCCTCTACTGCCTCTCTATCTCCCGTTCCTCAAAATAGTTCAGAAATGAGAAACCACTAACTGTTCATTTTGTTGTTCCATCCTTTCTCTTCACCTATAAACCAACTTTCTCCCTATCTATCTCCCAGCAAAACTAAACCAAACCATAATACCTCACACAGTTTTATTTAGGTTAAGCATATGGTTTTCCAATCTACTCTTCCTCTACCAGTAATCCCCTCTTGATCTATGTACATTTTCACTAGTAGCCAAAGAAAACAAACAAACAAAACAATGCAAGTTACAGTAAATTAAGAGCCTAAAAAAACATGGGTTTAATTAATCCTAATGCTGACTCCCCAGAGAATGAAAACACAGATTCTAACTTCCACTTTACACACAAGAAAACTGGCTCAAACGTGTTAAGCAACTTGCCCTTATCTGCAGTCTCCAGCTTGCAGGACACAGGAATCTGACAAGCATATTAATTCCTTACAAAAATATACCAGGACAGGAGGAATAACATCTGAAATATCCAAGGCACTGTGTTTAGAAACACTCTGCAACTGTAACACTAAAAATCTTTAATCTTAGAAAAATTTTAACACCTGTAGATGAAAGATAAACTACTGAGGGATGGTAACCTAACTTCCTTGCTCATTCATTATAATATCAAACAACGGCAAAGATACTCATGTCAGCAGATTTTCCACTGTTAGAAGATGCAGGAACAACCAGTATCACATACAGAGTTTATGTAAGAACCAGACCCAGATCCTGAAGACCAGGGTTTAGTCCTCGACAATGAAAATTGCCAGGTGATCTTAAGCAATCTGCTGCTTCTCTGAGCCTATAAAACAGGGCTGCCTAATTCAGAGGGCTGTTGTTAGAATTTAGTGATGTACGACATTTAAAGTGTTTCTTTAAAAAAAATACTTGAACTATATATATAAACCTCAGCCCCCAAATCCCAGAGAGTCAGCCCCAAAAGAACTACATAGCATCTTTCCTATGTCTTTCAAATAAAGTGTGAAAGCAGAAGTTTAAGAGCTTAAATACCAACTTCAAATACTTCAATATAAAAACTATCTGTTGGTGTCAATTTCCTGGTTTTGCTAATTACACTATAGACTAGTTATGATGCTCTCATGCAGGGAAGCCAGGTGAAGGGCACATGAAAACTCTTAGTATTTCTGCAACTTTCAAAATAAAACTAAAATAAAATAAATGATCTATTGGCTAACTCAGGGTTTTCTAAAAGGTGCCACAAGGAAATGTGTTTTCTGTCACAGAAGAAGGCAGTGAAAAATCTAAAAGTGGCTGAAACACAATGTTAGCTCATTTTGGTCATCAAATTGGAACATTAATCAAAAAGAAATTTTTCTCCTCCCATTAATGAGGCCAATGCTGTAAAATACACTCTTAGACTGTAGTTCTAGGAGTGTCTAGCATATTAAACATTCCACTAGAAAAATACCTGTCTACTGCATATACTTAAAACTGACCCAATGTAATATATATATATAATGGAGTATTACTCAGCAATCAAAAAGAATGAAATCTTGCCATTTGCAACTACATGTATGGACCTAGAGGGTATTACGCTAAGCGAAATTAGTCAGAGAGATAAATATATGACTTCGCTCATATGAGGACTTTAAGACACAGAACAGCTGAACACAAGGGAAGGGAAGCAAAAATAATATAAACAGGGAGGGGGACAAAACATAAAAGACTCTTAAATATTTAGAACAAACAGAGGGTTACTGGAGGGGTTGTGGGAGGGGGGATGGGCTAAATGGGTAAATCATTGTTGCACTATATGCTAACTAACTTAGATGTAAATTTAAAAAATTAAATTACATTTAACACATTTTTTAAAAATAGAAAGAAAAAAAATTGACCCAATATAAAGTAGCCTGTCCCTTAAAGGGTTAAAAACAATCGACCCTAGTTTTCTACTCTTCTCCTGGGCTTTTCTGTCTTCATGACCTATTTATGAGCACTTGTACTAAAAGAGCAATATAGTGAAATGGGTTAGATACTTTACACTGTCAAGCCCTGAAATTCCAGGAAATTAGAGTTGACAATATATTCTATATTATTCTATAAGAAGAAAGAGAAAGAAAAGAAATAAAAGGGAAAGGGAAGGAGAGAGACTATTTCAGGAGAATAAACCACTAATTCACTTGCAACCCAAAAAGAAGTAATAGGAAAGGGCAACACACGAAAACAACCCCCAAATGATATCCTACATTAACTTGGTAAACAATAAATCCCAACTCCCTCAGGGTTTTTGTCCCCATTCATTTGTATTGAGGTTAAGAAGTTAGAACCTTCACATGAAGAGCTAGTTTGTATTCATTACAGAGCAATCTTCTTACACTCATTGTATTTTACCTTGGGAACATAAATAATGTAGGCAGAAAGAAAGTCCATTACTATTTAACTTCAACTATATAACACAATATGAATTTAAAGCTCATCAAGGCCAGAAAACAAACCTGCTACAAACTGTTTTGGAGTAGGCACATTTCCTTGCCCCTCTAGTTTTTCCCATCTCACAGCTTCTGTCTTTTTCATTTTAATTTCAATCTGGAAGAAAACACCAAACAAAATTTATTATTCAATGTAAAATATACAAAACATTAAAAAAATGCAATTTCCTCAAGTCATAAACTTTTATAAGAATTAATAGAACCCTTGAGATCATTTCCTTAAATTATTCAAGGTTAAATTTCAAGAACTTGTAAACATTTATTTTTCTACTTAAAAGCCACCCTTCAAAAACAACATAAATACACACTGTAAGCTACAATTAAGAAGAGTCTTGGTGCACCTGGGTGGCTCAGTCGGTAAAGATCTGACTTCAGCTCAGGTCATGATCTCATTTTTCATAAGTTCAAGCCCTGCATAGGGCTCCACACTGGCGGTGCAGAGCCTGCTTGGGATTCTCACTCTCTCCTCTCTCTGCCCTCCCTGATTCATGCTTTCTCTCTCAAATATAAATATGTAAACTTAAAAAAAAAAAAAAAGTCTTGAAATCCATGTTTTTTTTCTTCCAATGCAGTGTTCTCAACCAGAGGTGATTCTGCCTCCCAGTGGAATTTGGCAATGTTTATGGATATTGTTGGTCATCACACCCGGGGTGGGGGTTAGGGATGCATAAAGGGCAACCTTCCCAAAACAAAGATTTATACAGCCCCAAATGTCAACAGTGCCCCCCTTTGAGAAACCCTGTTCTAATAGAATCACTACATTTGCATGCACATTAACCTGTTTGAGAGTGGAGAACACTACCATTATATAAACATATTACAACTGGGGCACCCGGGTGGCTCAGCTGGTTGAGCATTTAACTCTTGATTTCAGCTTGCATTGTGATCTCATGGTTTGTGGGATCAAGCCTCACATCAGGCTCTGCACTAACAGCACAGAGCCTGCTGGGGATTTTTTCTCCCTTTCTGTCTGTTCCCTGTTCACATGTGCGCACATGCTCTCTCAAAATAAATAAATATTAAAAAATACAACTAATGCTACCATTTTCATAATCATTCACTAATTATTAAACATACAATATGAACAAGCTGTAATTTTCACAGATGTGGTGGATTTTTTTAAATAGTAAAAACAAGTTCCTGACCATCTTGAAGTATGTGAGATATAAGATACTACAATAAAGTTGATCATGAGGCAAATAAATGTTCTAATAGCTCAGCAGAGATCACACCTGGGTGTAAAAACAAAGAGTTTTAGCACACTTTGCAGAGCTTTGAGGGGTAGGAGCATTTACAATGGTGGAAAGAGGAGGTCTCTGGAGACAAAAGGAACAGCCTAAAACGAGCCCTGAGGTTTGAAAGGCCACAAAGCATCAGGGAGTATGGACAAGACCAATTTGCCACCAAGTCCAAGATTTATGTTAGAACAGTAAAAAACTACAGATGGAAAAGGTGTAAGGCAAATTATGAAGAGCTTATGAATGCTAGATTAGCTTCACTTATTAAAATGAAATTTACTGGGGCGCCTGGGTGGCTCAGTTGGCTGAGCGTCTGACTTCGGCTCAGGTCATGATCTCGTGGTTTGTTACTTCGAGCCCCGCATCGGGCCCTGTGCTGAAAGTTTGGAGCCTGGAGCCTGCTTCGGATTCTGTCTCCCTCTCCTCTCTCTCTGCCCCTCCCCTCCTCATGCTCTGTCTCTCCCTCTCTCTCAAAAATAAATAAACATAAAAAAAATTGTTTTTTTTTTAAATGAAATTTATCTTTAACTCTCTAATCAAGGTCGATCCCCTAGGTTCTATTCTTAACCCTAACATACACTCACATAACACTTTCATCTATCTTGTTTTCCTTATATTTTAATTTTTTTCTAAGAAAAGAATTACTACTTTTGTAAATATGAAAAAAAATTATACAAAGTTTAACAAAAAGAAAAGCCTATTCACACTGGTTCTTTGACTCCTTTAGATCCGATAAATCATTTAAACTAGCAATTACTGGTAATCTTTCTACCATCTGCACTTAGTGACAGAATCCTTAAAATCTGCATTTCATAATAACTTAAAACACTGAGAAATCTGCCAATATTTTTAACGAGACATGAAGTGATGGTATGGAAAGGGTTGTGGTCGCTGAGGATTTGTACTTTCTTTAGGACAGAAATGTAACCAAAAACTATTTTTATAATGAGAAAAACATGAAATGTCACTGGGAAAGAGACCAAAAGTGCACTATTTAAAAAAATTTTTTTTGAAGTTTATTTATTTTGAGAGACAGAGAGAGAGAGCATGAGTGGGGAAGGGACAGCAAAAGGGAGAGAGAACACGGCACAGAGCCTGACACAGGACTTGAAGCCATGAACTGTGAGATTATGACCTCAAAAATCAAAGAGCCAAAATCAAGAGTCGGACACCCAACTGACTGAGCCACCCAGGCAACTAGTACAGTATTTTTAACATAATTTATGTGTTTAAATTCTACATAAATAAAAAAATAAACTCTACATAAATAAAAACAATTTTATAAGAATCTCTACAGTTCTCTAAAATGATGACTAATTTTTATAAAGTAAAATGCTATCAATATTTTCTCATATACAATATTAAGTGACAGTAATATTAGTGACAGTATTTTAAAAGTTATCACTGCTGGAATAATTATCAAAAAGGGGCAAAAATCTAGTAGCTGGCAATGACACAGCAATAGTTACTGAAAAGAGCTTTAATCCTAAAATTTAAAAAGTCATTTTGCTTCTTTAATTTTCAACTCATCTGGAAGTGAAGACCTGGCAAGCAGTGTATACATCAACATTACTATACTTAACTAACCTCTGCCACAGAGCACCCTATATTCACACCTCACGTTCCTGCACTCACGCAGGGTCTATAAAAAGTTCCTCGTTTCACCTAAAGAGCAGCACACACTACCATTCACGTCTACTAAAAACAACCATAACCTGAGGAATTGTGTAGTATGAACAAAGAGGCCTTTATAAGGCCAAAGTCAAAGATCTTAGTAACAACCTGTATCAAGACATGCTGACCTGAACTTGAAATTGTACTTAATCCATTCACCAAAATAGCTGCACATAATAAACCACTTAAAGCAGCTTTTTGAAAAGACAAAAGTGAGGAGGAATACTAATTTTCTGTGAATTCTTTTTTACACGTATTTCACTTTCAATGTTTATATATGCTTTTTAAATTGAAGTGTTAAGTCTTAATGATTCTGGCAGGTACCTCCAGAGTTACCACCAGCCCAACTTCAGGTACTTTTACTGTGACTATTAAGAAGCTATTCTATTTTCATTTAAGTCAAAAATAATTTAAAAGTTAACTTAAAACTTTGGTAGTGTGCTTGAATGCTGCTCTCATATGCACAAGGAAGGCTTTCAAGAATGTCCCAAAGCAGTATTCACAGATTACTAATGAGAATCCCTGCTGTTCCAAACTGTCAGTTCTTAAGATTTTGTATACTATCACCCACCTCTAAAGTCTTCTCTGCACAGTTTAATTTTTTCCAATGAAAGGACTTCAGATTTAAAGGGAAGCCATTACTTCAAAAGGGTCATGACATCCAGATACCACCTTAAGAGGAGGTTAAGCTCCCACTTCCTGCTACAGAGGGACAGTGAAGGCATCTTTCTCAGACACTATGAGTTGTGGCAGTTTACTGCTGAACTTTCTTTTTCTGGTAGTTTTGACAACCACCTGTTTCAAGGCTATAGTCATTAAATAATTGTTCCCGACCTTCAGAATGTAATTTTTCCCAACATCCTCTTAAACATTTAATTGCTGTATCTAACCCCTTCATCTGATAATAAACTCAAGTCTTCCTGAAGTCATACTGCACAACTACCATCTTTATTTTTACACTCAAATCATTTTTTTTAAGTTTATTATTTCAGAGAGAAAGACGAAGAGAGAGAAAGGGGGCGCACAAGCAGGGGAGGGGCAGAGAGAGAGGGAGACACAGAATCTGAAGCAGGCTCCAGGTTCTGAGCTGTCAGCACAGAACCTGATGCGGGACTCAAACCCATGAACCGTGAGATCATGACCTAAGCCAAAGTCACATGCTTAACCGACTGAGCCACCTAGGTGCCCCTACACTCAAATCATTTTATAATCATTTTTTTAAATGCAAAGAACAGTAATTAATGACAAGAAACTGAAAAATCTTCTCCAAAGTTCAACGAATTTTTTTAAATGTTTTTACTTTTGAGAGAGTGCGTACGAGTACTGAGTCGGGGAGGGGCAGAGAGAGACGGGGACAGGGGATCCAAAGAGGGCCCTGTGCCCGATGGCGATGCGGTGCTTGAGCTTGAGATCATGACCTGAGTTGAGGTTGGACGCTTAACCTACTGAGCCACCCATGCGTTCCTCTTCCCCAAAGTTCTAATCGCACAATTCAAATATCTACTTTGTGTCTACTCGGGCCAGGCACTGTATTAGTACAAAAGGTCACAGTCTCTACTCTCGCTTATGGGAAGCGATAGTCCCATAAAAAAATTCCAGCAGGTATCACCTCTAGTGAAAGATCTAAATATAGGGAAATATTCCAGTTTCCTGGAAAGAAGTATGCCAAAATATCATCAATAGTGAGACTGAGTAATTACTTTCTCTGCTCCTTTACGTTTTTCCAAATTTCCTATGATACACATTTATTGCTTTTACAATCTGAATAAAAATCTAAATAATCTGGATAAAATAACTATAGCAGTAACATTTCTTGAGCACTATTACATACCGTGTGTTTCATATACATCATCTCAGTTAAAAGAACAACACTATAAAAGGAGATTACCAACCGTATTTTAGAGATGAGGCAACCAAGATAGACAACTTGCTGGAAGTGTCTTCTGCTAGAAGTTTTACTTACTTCCTCACAAATAAACAGAGGTTGAAAATAAGACAACTATCAGTTTTAGAGAAGAGTCATAGATACATACTACCTGCTGGAAATATGGCCATGAGCAAGCAACTAATCTCACTGAGCCTCAGCTTCTCCTGTAAAAAGGGATTAATAGGGTCTACTTCATTTAGGGTTCTTATGGGGATTAAATGAGCCCATGCATGAAAAGAATAGAGCACTGTATCTGGCAAATAACTGAATGTTCTTATCATTATCTTTATCATCATTAAAATCAGCTAAAAAATCTGTGCAAAGTATTTAACATCTCTGGATTCAGTTTATACCTGTAAATAGGTGATAAAAATACCTCTACCATACAGTAATTGTTAGGATTCCATGTGTAGATAATACACAGCATTCAAAATAGTTACCTACTATAATTCTACACAGGTCAAACAGATAGGACTGACTAAATAAGCTACAATAGATGCATGCAATGAAATACTTTCCTGTAAAACATTTAAGGGCATGAAAAAAATATCCATAGTATATGGCTAAATTTAAAAAGATAGCTACAGACAGTATTTACAGTAAAGTCCTTTTCTTTTGAAAATACATGAATATGCATTAGAAAAGGTGGAAAGAATACACTTCAAAAACAATTTGTGCATCATCAGCAACTAATTATTTAAAAACATAATTACCACCACCACTGTTATCAAAAAGACATAAAACAACAATCCAAAAGTCTCTACATCCTGCCCAGACATCCCCAACTCCATCACATCATCATTAGGATTCTTCTATGAATATTAAGAAAAGGAATTCACTCTGAAACTTCTCAAATTTTAGTAAGTTAAGGGAGCCATGGTCTGTCTCAAAATAAAGACACACATTTTTACCTCCCACAATTCCAGTCAAAAGCCTTCATGTTTTATAGACATAATACAAAAAATTGCTCTGACTAGAAATAGGAATAGAATTTTTTTTTAAAAATTTTATTTTTAAGTAATCTCTACACCCAATGTGGGACTTGAACCCACAACCCCAAGATCAAAGGTCTCACACTCCACTGAATGAGCCAGCCAGGTACCCCAAAGAATATTTCTACAAAGCATTTTGAAAATTCTCACTTTTTTAGGAGGAGTGAATATTAACCTTTAATATGAGTATTTCACAGGACAGCTGACACTTAAGTTATAAGCCTGTGATTGTGAGCAGAGAATACTGTCATGAAATTAGTAAGACGGAACAAAAGAAACACTACAGTTTCTTAATAAATAAAATGAATTAATAGGCAGATAGGAAAGCTTGGATTCAATAAAAGGGAGAAATAACTGTCAGAAGTACTGAAAAAAATGAATTCTGACTTGGAAAAATCTAGGTAGGACACTGTAAAATATTTAGTTAAAAATGCTATTTCACTGATTGAAGGGTGCTACCTCTCTTATTTTCATTGCAAATTATATTTCCCTTGAATTAATAACACTTAACCAAAGATTATACAAGAATATGCAACATTTCTTCACCCTTGAAGGTGGAAAAGAAAAAAACCGAATTCCCAAAGAAATCACCCCTTTAAAGCACACATTTTACAGAATCTCTAATTTTAAGCAGTTTCTTGTGACCAGAAGCATTCTTTTCTCAACTCACATAAACGATTCAAGATACCTGAATTCATATGAAAACCATGTGATTTCATTATTGTCTTCGTGTCATCACTAAATAAACCTCAGTAACCCACAGAAAGATTTGATTTTCAGTATTTAACAGTCTCCCTCTGCTGTATGAAAAAAGATTCTAAATTTTCATTTCCCTTAAGATATAATTAAGTACAATTATTTCAATTTGTTTCCCATAATATACAGCTTAAAAGTTGGTGGTCTAACAAAACTAATATATGTTACTTTCGGCTAGGAAAAGAAAAGTCATCTTCTTTACACATCTTTAGAATGGTAATTCTTTAATCTAGAACTTAGAAAAACCTAAGCAAAGAAGCACTAGCTTTCCAGAAATGAAAGTATTTCCCCTGGGCCAAGATGGATAATTTAGTAACTATGTAAACTTGGGGAAAGCTTTTAAAGTCCATGAACCTCGGTTTCATCTATAAAACTAAGAATAAAAATAATCTAACAACTTCAAAGGGCTAACATCAGAATCCATTTTAAATTAATTCACTGAGGGGCATCTGGGTGGCTCAGTTGGTTAAGCATCTGACTCTTAGAGTTTGGGCTCAGGTCATGATCTCACAGTTCATGAGTTGGAGCCCCATGTCAGGCTCCCTACTGCTGGTGCAGAACCTCTTTAGGATTTTCTCTCTCTCCCTTTCTGCCCTGTCCCCTCCCCCTTCTTTCTACCCCACCTAACCCCCCTGCCCAAAATAAATAAACTTTAAAAAATTAAATAAATGTATTCACTGAACAATTATTGAGCAGCCCTATGTACAACACATAGGGCTAGGGTTGACAAATTTAGCAAATGGAATATACTTACACTAAAAAATTATTCAGTTTGTAAAATTAATGGGGCATCCTATACTTTATGAGCCAATCTTACCTGGAGCATATACAAAGACATAAATATGACATGCTTCTTATCCTCACAGACTAAATGCAAGGGAAATAAAATGTATACATAAACTACTGCACAAAAAAGAAAAATAGTTATGTAGCATTTAAAGAAAGAGGAAAGGCACCAAAAAGGTAACTGGGAACACAGCAGGAGCACTGCAAAATGGTCAGATTCAAGAAGTACTCAAGACTCAAAGGAAAATAAAGAATAAGAGATGACAGTGCTTCGTTAACATCCTCAATTCCAGCCACACAGACTTCTGTATTTATTATCACAAATACTATTCTTCCATAAGTTACATGAGGCGACCCACTAACACAAGTTTTTAAGTCATTTACGCCATCTATTCACACAAGTCAGCTCCATTTAAACTACTTCAAAAGAATACGCATTAACAACCTGTTGATAAAAATACCGTATGTAGGAAAATGCCTAATTCGTAATTTTCTCAACTGTCCCCCTCCCAAATCTAGCCATAGTTTTGTGGTTGATTACTTACCCATCTTCTTTTACTAAACAAATTCTACGCTATGTGGATAGGGTCAATAGGACTACAATCTTGGTAAGATTTCATTCCTTTTTCTCACCTACTTTCTATCTTCCAAACAACTGTTTCTTCTCTCCCCCTCATAATTTAACAGCTTTGTACTTTGTAATCTTTAAATTTTTTTTTTCAACGTTTATTTATTTTTGGGACAGAGAGAGACAGAGCATGAACGGGGGAGGGGCAGAGAGAGAGGGAGACACAGAATCGGAAATAGGCTCCAGGCTCTGAGCCATCACTGCCCAGAGCCCGGCGTGGGGCTCGAACTCCAGAACCGAGAGAGTGCAGTGACCTGGCTGAAGTGGAGCTTTAACACGGACAGCACCACCCAAAGGCCGCTATGTACTTTGTAGTAATCACTAAACAAATTAGTGGGCAAATCATTTCTAACTAGATGCAAAAAATGACCACTTCTTTATTTTGCACTTTTGCTCAAATGCTCTGCAGATACCCTCTTCTTTCCACAAAGCCAGTTACCATATTCTCCCTGACACTAGCTGACCTGATTCTACTCTAGGATATGAAAATTCACCCAGCCTTAGAACTTAAACTCAATAATTAATAACACAGCATGTTGCAGGACATGTTCGTAAAGAAGGTGTAGCAATGGAAAAAATCTACTTATATCATTTATTGTCATTAACTCATTACATATCTCCATACAATTTTATAGATGAAAAAATTTCAGCACTCATTTAGTCCATATCTCTCATTTATACAGTGAAAATTTACACCTACAATAATTTTGTGACAATGTAAATTCACAGAGCAAAGAACCAGAGTCAGATTTTTTGATTTTTCAGTTCAGTACCTGTCCTGTTAAATTATACTACCTACATCTTTTGATTGATATCTAAAACAATATATGAATTTTAATTCCATTGCATACTTTTTGAAAATCTAAATAAATCTAAAAATTACATAATTACTCAAACCACAGTTTGAGTTACTCAGTATTCGCTTGTTAACAAAGTATTCTAAAATTCAACTTAATTAAAAAACAGGAAAAAAAACAGGCAGATTCATCTTCACAGTAGTATTTTTAACTGCATAAAACAGGGTGAGAAACTATTTGTACATCAAAACAGACAAGTTCAAGAGATGAGATACTCACTGTCAGTATCAAATCTTAAATAGAGGCTGATAATTGCTTTTTAAAAAACCTCTTTAAGAACTATTATACCAATCTTAATAAATGTATAAACACTACTGAGGTTAAATTGAGTTTTACATTCCACTGTCCTAGAATTTTGGGAGGGGAAAATTGTTACTCAAAAATTATTGTTTTTAATTTGAAGACATGTGCCTGAAAGGATCTATAAACTTAAAATCACATGGGTGAGTAGTTGACCAATATTTCTAGATTTTGAAAACATCACTACTGACAACTATTTTATTTTTAAGTAATATCTACACCCAATGTGGGGTTTGAACTCACAACCCCAAGATCAAGAGTTGCATGCTCTTCTGACAGCTAGCCAGGTGCTCCCACTAACAACCCTTTTAAAATTGTCTTACCTTTAAAATAAATAAATAAATAAATAAATAAATAAATAAATAAATAAAATAAAATAAAATAAAATAAAATAAAATAAAATAAAAAAATAAAAAATAAAATTGTCTTACCTTTGTTGAAAGTACTTTAAATGTGCTCTGTTCTGGTATTATAAGATGAAGAAGTCTCAGTTTCAAATTATAATCCTCTCCAGAAGGAAGTTTCACCAAAGCAGACAACTAATGAATACAAAATTAGCAGTACATTTTATAATTTATATAATGAAGGATCACTTAAACTGAATATAAGAATAGAATTTCAATGCTGCTACAGATTGTTTTAAATACTTTATATAGAGTACCAGATTTAAGAAACTCAAAATAATCCTTTTTTTCTATCGGGTACCCTTTACATGGATTCTCACATACATTATTAAATAACAGAAAATAGTATGTTTCAAACAAATATTTAACATTTAAATCTCCAGAAAACTCAAGAGCAAAATATAGTATGAAACAAAAGTATTCATATGCAAGACATCTACTTCTACCACTAACTTAAATATCATTAAAGTTTTCTAGTAAATGCTAGCAAACCAAATGATTAGAGGCCGTACTAATTTCACGTGGTTAGCAAATTCTAAGACATATAAATCACCCAACAAATAAGTAGATCTTTTTCACAAAAGTGCATCACACAAATGTACCAAATCACATCTTACTAATTAATGTCTTTTATTATTTGTCAACCAGATTCTACTGTGAATTTCAAATCTAAAGGAAAATTATGTACATCTAGCTGTACCCTACAGTATAAACACTTTTGTCTCAAAATTTAAAATCACTCAAACTGAGAAGCAATGCTTTAGATTTTTATCAGCATTTTCCACATCTCAGGAAGAAATGACATATCTGATAAACTGCTATAGGTTATTCTGCAATATACTATTTTGCAAATAAAAGTACGTAATCTCAAAATAAAAGATAGTTCAAAGATAGTATTAACCTCTTTTTCTGAAAATTCCACATTTACATTATTCTTCTGAACATTCTTGATCATGAGTGTAATGATTACTTGAGATTCTGTTTGATACCAGTCATACCTATTAAAAGAGAAAAAAAAACCTCAGAACATCTAATATTCTCAAAGTTGTTGCTTCTTTATGTTTTGTCAAGATAAAAACTACAATATGATAAACAAGAGCTCCACCTTGAGGAACAAAATAGAAAAGCAGCTGGTGATTCACAAACAATTTTATATAACTGTATTTCCTTTGATCTGTACTAATGAACAGTGAGGTATAATCCCTAAAACATTTCCAGGAGACTTAAACACTTACATGATTTTCGGGGTTCTGACTTACATCTGTATTACTGTTATGCTTAATCTAATGTTGAAAACAAAACTGATTCTAAACAAACCATTATTATATACCATCAATAGTTTTACACTTCCGTTTCAATCTAATACGAAGAAAAAGCACTCTATCCCTATTTTACAGATGAAAAAATATAAGCCCAGAAGGGTGAAGCAATAAGCCAGTCAGTGGTAGGTGTTACACTGGACCCACATCAACCTGACTTCATACTCCAAAATCTCTTAACTGAAGCTGGGGGCAACAGCACTGAATACAATGAGCAGAAGCAAATGAGCTAAAAATTAAAATAACTTAAAAGTTTAACCCATCCTACCAAACACAACATTAAACACAGTATCTTCCTTCAGTCTCAAGGTACATGGGAAAACTAGTGGGCCTAGAAATTCTAATTATGTGTATCTTTCCCACAGAAGGCTCTAAAACTGTAGGGATCCTCACTTTCAAATTAGATTAGATTAGATTATAAACTCCATGAGGGCAGAGCTATTTATCTATCCTGCCACTATTATATTCCTAAGACTGAGCACAGTGCCTGGTAATATGAAATCAATGTCAGATTATCTTACATTCTAACATCATAGTTATTATTCTATGTTTGTGTTATACTCTTGATGCTGCCACCAAGCTAGTCAAATTTCCCTGTCTACTTGGTACTTGGAGACTCATCCTAAATCTCGCCAGAAAGAACATGAATTGTTTTAACATTTTCAAGCAATTTTAGGTAATTAAAATGCACCTTGATTAAAGACATATACTTTAAGAGTCTCAGTTTCCTGCTGAAATTCAGTGAGGATGCAAAGCTCCAGATCAATGCCTTGTGTTTCTGTTACAGTCCTAAGAATACGAGTTGTACACATGGCTAATAAATAATTAAAAATAAATTCAAATACTTGCTAGATGTTTAATTCATCATTGTAACTGTTGCCCTGAGCAATAGTAACTTTCAACTCATGCAGAATTATCCTATGAAAAATATACTCTAAAATATAAAAGGCACAATTCTGTCAAGCCTACTAACTTATTTACCTGTGTAATAACACCTAAAGAGGTTCTTGTCATCTCAAGGTGACATAATATGGAACCAGAAAAAGCAAGTTTAAAGTGAAGTGATTTTAATTTACCCTTGATCATAAAGACTAACAGGAATCAGCAAAGAGCTCGAGAATTTGTTTTCTCGGGCTAAGCACTATTTCTAAAAAAAACTTAAAAACACCTAAAATCACAAAGTAAGGACTTGCTCATTACTATTAAACAATAGGATTTTTCCCTTTAGACATATATATCATGCATTATTTCATGAAAAAGAAACACTTACTTGATTTTTGACTGATGAGTCCTCTGGGATGCAGACTGATTTTGGCAAGTAGAAAGAGAAAAATTTTTACAAACTGGTTTAGCAACTGTATATTAAAACGCACATATTATTAATTTACCCAGTGCTATGGTTACTTTGATATGGAGTAACTACATGAAAACGTCCTCAAAGACAAAGCATAATATTCATAATTGTTAAGTAACACTAGTCATCTCAAAAAATTAGAATATTCAGTATTTTTATAATTTTAAGATTTTTTTTCTAAAATAAAAGCATAAAACCCAAAATACTTTCTAAAGGTATGATTGGAAAAGCTTACATCTAAAATGTTCAGTACTCTTTTTTTTTTTTTTAATTTTTTTTTTTTTTTTCAACGTTTATTTATTTTTGGGACAGAGAGACAGAGCATGAATGGGGAGGGGCAGAGGGGAGGGGTACAGAATCGAGGCTGCTCCAGGCTCTGGAGCCATCAACTCAGAAACCCGACGGGAATGTCAAACTCTGGAGACATGGTCGTGATGATGATGACCTGGCTGGTCGGACGCTTAACCGACTATACAGGTGCTAAACTACTCTTCATCTCGCATCAACAAGAGAGCGCCTGGTGGCATAGTCGGTTAAGCGTCTGACCCCGGCTCGTCGATCCTGCGGTCCGTGATTCGATCCCAGCGTCGGGCTCTGTGACACTCAGAGCAGGCCTGACTTCCAGGCTCTATGTTCCCTCCTCACCCTCATTGTCACTCTGTCTCAAAAATAAATAAACGTTAAAAAAAAAAATTTTTTTTTAAATAAAATAAAATGAAAATAACAATGACATTTAAAAAACCATTTTTCAGAAATAATTATGGCTTAAGATTAAGCGTTGACTCAGTGGTTAGGCATTGGACTTGGGCTCAGGTCACTATCTTACGGTTTGGGGTTTAGCGGGCCTCTCACAGGGCTCTGCACTGATGGTACAGAGCCTGCCTGCTGGGATTCTCTGTCTCCCTCTCTCTCTGCCCCTCCCCAACTTCATGCACTTCTCTCTCAAAATAAATAAATAAACTTTAAAAATTAAAAAAAAAAAAAAAAAAAAAGAAATTAGTATAAACTTCATGCTTAACAATGGCATCAAACATGGCTCTGGAACATATGAAGGAACGTTTTCATGGTACCTTCCAGATAACAGCTTACTCCATTTATGGTCTCTCAGTAACAAACATTCTAAACTGCCCATCAAAAAACAAAGTGACTCTTGACCAATCCATACTTTCCTAAACTACATGTGTGCCAGTTAAAAGTATGTAAATCTGAAAAACTTGCCCTGGGTCGTAAGTGACCTCTAAGTTGCCCCTAAATGATAAGCGAAGTGATGGGGTTTAAAGGAAGAAAATAAAACCCCTCTACAGATCTGAGTCTAACTCAGAATTACCCTCCAGCATTAACTATTGACAAATACTCAATCTAGATATCAGATGGAGATAATGACTAGAACAGATTATTCCAGTTCACCTCGGTATAAAGATAAAACTACACTGGTGTCAACTACAGCAGTGACAAAATGCACTGTGACTATACAGCAATTTGTGTTACCAGATGAAGTATTATCCAAATGCTACTCTGTTGTTTTCAGGACTAGTTCCAATCCCCAAAATAGTAAGCCATAAACAAAAATACCAGCGGTGTGAAAGAAGCCAACTTTTAAATACTTCCCTCACCTATCATACTTAGGAATATACACAAGCCTTGGGGGTATAGGGATAACCAGACAGGGTTCACTTTTGGTGATGTTCAAAACTCCAGTCACTACATATGCACATACCTGGCCTCATGCTCACAACCTGTCTAAAGCAGATTAACTCTAGCAGACCCGGTTTACAAATGAAGAAAACCCAGAGAATAAAATATTTTCTCAGTGTCACAATGTAATTCTGGAAGACAAAGATGTACATTTTCATTCAGACTTGAAGAAAGAGACCCAAAAAGGTTAAGTAACTGCCCTTAGAGTTAAGACCACACACACGTTTCCTAAATCCTTGTCATTTTATTGACTAAATTGTAGATGATCACTGCTAAAAAACCATTGGCCGTAATTTATGCGTGTTATTTATAAACACTGTAGTTAAAAAAAGTCAAATAATTTTCAACTCCACCATAATTTTAATTTTTTTAAAATGTTTATTTTTGAAAGAGGGACAGAGTGCGAGCTGGCGGAGGGGCAGAGACACACAACCCAAAGCAGGTTCCAGGCTCTGAGGTGTCAGTACAGAGCCAGATATGGGCTCAGACTCACAAACCGTGAGATCATGACCTGAGCCGAAGTCAGACACCTAACCAACTGAGCCACCCAGGCATCTCTCAACTCCATCATAATTTTTAATTTTTCAGTTTTAAAAGACTTGAAAGTCTTCATGTCCAAATACCAAATATGAAACTAAATTAGATAAACATTTCCAAATTCTAGTTAACTTTTATGTGTGGGTTTTTTTTTTAATATTTATTTTGTGAGAGAGAGCAAGCAAGCGAGCATGCGCACATGAGGGACGAAGAGAGAGAGAGTATATATATTCCAAGCAGGTTCCATGCTGTCAGTGCAGAGCTGGATGCAGGGCTCAAACTCACAAACTATGACACCATGACCTGAGCTGAAACCAAGAGTTGGACGCTCAACCAACTAAGCCATCCAGGCGCCTCTGACTTTTGTGTTCCTATTACACCACCATAAACCCTGCAAGTGCTTCCAAGGCAGCAGCTGTTCAAACTAAATGTGAGGACGTTTCAGCAAGGAAAAGAAAAAAAAAATAACCACCCTGACCATACTAAAACATACCAAATCAACTTGACTCATACATTAAATGAGCCCAATAATTTTCATGGCTACAAACCTCTACATTAATTTCATCAAACCAAAATGTATTACTTCAGTTACTAAAGGAAAAAGTATTTGCATCAAATTGCTTAAGATATAACTAAAAGAAAGATCAGTCTGAGTCCTGTCTCAAATATGCATAGCAAAATTATAATTAAGTAAAAACACGAAGGAGAAAAACTTTGTACTTACCACCTCAGATTGTGATCCTATTAAAAACATAAAAACATCTCCGGTTAACAATACACTTATAGACAAAGTTATATACATAATTTCTATGGTGCAAACATACTGACTGATTGCATAAATCAATTTACCATACATCTCAAATAAAAGAAAGTGGTTTAATTTTGCATTCTGGAGTCACTTTAGACTTCTTAGTAATTTCTTACTGGTAATATAATGATACAAATCTATCTAAATCATCCTTTCAATATAACAGTACCTTGGAAATCCCTGAGGAAACTAGTTAAATTTATGATGTATAAAGTTATAAAGTTACAAATAAATTTGTTTAAATCCAAAAATGTCAAACATTTACTTCTTTGTAAACTGAAAGACCTTTAGAAACCTACATGCTTACCATCCTGAGCTTCTTGACACCTTTTAATCCAGACAGTGAAATCAGGATCTGCACCTAGAAAAAAACAGAGTGTAACATCACTAATCTGCACCATCTAACATATTCATTCAACAAATACTTACTGAATATCTACTATGTTCCAAGCAGTGCTTTAGGCACTCAGGGATTCAGCAGTAAATTAGACAGAAACCCTTGTCGTACCACAGTTTATAGCAAACGTAAAATTACAGCTACAAATACACTAATAGGTTTAACATCTAGACATTCATCCTGAAGAATTAAAAAAAAAAAAAATTGCTTTTAACCAGTCAACCTTACTGGTTCCCAGATACACAGAATCTCTATTTCCCCTCACCCTCTTCTGTTAAAGGAGCTTCCTCTAGCACAACGAAATCAGATCTGAATTAGAGTCCCTACACACCATCATTTAGTGTGGAGTGGAAGCCTAGTAACAGACAGCTGGACTGGGATCTAAAGGCCTCTCCTGACCCAGGTTTGTTCTCCAAAGCAGCTACCTACCTATCCTGTCTACTGTTCTCTCAGTGGCCTGCTTGTTACCATGCCATTCTTACCAAGGGCAAAAAACACCTCTGGGGCGCCTGCGTGGCTCAGTTAAGCGGCCAACCTCAGTTCAGGTCATGATCTCACAGTTCATGGGTTTGAGGCCCGCGTTGGGCTCTGTGCTGACAGCTCAGAGCTTGGAGCCTGCTTCAGATTTGGTGTCTGTCTCTCTCTCTCTCTCAAAAATGATTAAACATTTAAAAAAATTTTTTTAAAAACCACTTCTGTACTTTGTGTAGTTGTCATATCTCCAGATTCCATGGGAGCCAACAGACGACAGATGGTGAACTATACACTTAAAAGACGGCAATGCAAACATCTATGTAAGCAAATTATTACAAGACTTAGAACAATGATGATATCTAAACAGTACAGGGTCTAATGAAATATAATGTTTAAAATTATTAAAAGTATTCTACATAAAAGTTTACACACTCAATCTAATTACAAGCAAGATTATTTTGAAAAATAAAAATTTCTTAAAATGGGGTGCCTGAGTGGCTCAGTTGGTTAAGCATCCAATATGGGCTCAGGTCATGATCTCGTGGTTTGTGGGTTCAAGCCGTGCACTGGGCTCTGTGCTGACAGCTCAGAGACTGGAGCCTGCTTTGGATTCTGTGTCTCCCTCTCTGCCTCTCCCCCACTTATGTTCATTTTCTTTCTCTCTCTCAAAATTAAACATCAAAAAAATTGTTTTAATTTCTTAATATGAAATTTCCTAATACATTAATTTATAAGTGAAATTCAACTACACAGGCCTTAACTAATACCTACATACATGTACATACATATTCATTTTAGTGGGCGAAACAATTACATCAAAATCTTTGATTTAAATAACCTATTATTCAAATTAATCAGTAAATAAAAACCAAGCTTTCTACCATACCAAAGGAAAAAAAAAAGTAATATTCTGAGTTATAAATTTTTTACCTTGTCTAATAAGGGAACCCTAACAATTTAACATAAATTTTCCCTAAAATTAAAAAGAGCAAATCTGTTTTTAAATTAAATATCCTCAACAGCAATTTTACCAAAAACCAGACACCTTCATTTGAGGCAGACTGAAGTAATTCTAAGATAAAAGTCCATGGCAAGAAGGTATTAAAAAAGAAAAATTTTAGATGGGGCACTTTCTATTGCTCTAAAAAAAGAAATAAGGAATAGGGCTTTGAAGTCTAGAAAGGGGAATGATTCATGTCTCTTCAGGGTTTTCATATATGTATCATACAAGAAAACTGGACTCTAGAATTTGCTAGGAGTGGTGGTACGCTGGCTTGCTAAGCGAGTAACCTAATGGTTCACATACTACCACTCTTTCCTAATTTGTAGGTTCCGATTGCAAAGTTGGGCGCGCTGTCCTCTCCCGAGCAGGTATACAGAAGAAAAGCAAATAATCAAAACAATACAACAGTAAATTTTTAGAAATAGAAAAACACAGTCATGCAATACTTTAAAGTAGAGATTCACAACCTCAGCACTACTGATATTTTGGATGAGATACTTCTCTCTGTTCTGGGAAATAATCCTGTACAACATAGAATGTTTACCAGTATCCCTGGCCTCTACTGACTAGATGTCAATAGCACATCCCCCATCCATCAGTCATGGTCATCAAAAATCTCTTCAGACATTATCAAATGTCCCCAAGGGAGTAAAATCATCCCTAGTTAGGAACCACTGCTCTAGAGAACTGTGTAAAGACTCTATCATTAGAGGAAGATAAAATGACAGTACACAATACACAATAAGAATTCTGTAGTCTACGATTATCTATGAGATTACTTACAACTTTTGTCTGCCAGTATTTTGCAGACTTTTCTGGTTTTTTGGCTCTTTCAATTTCTATACGTGTGCAGAGATATCCATACTACTAATTTTCACATACTTCTCTGAAGCTGACGTTAAAAACTCACAGTACTTTCAAACCTCCAAGTTTCTTCCTATCACAATTTACCCAAACTGACACTACACTTCCTTATAAAAATTTCTGCTGTAAAACTTCCCATCTCAGCTACCTGAATAATAACTTAAACTGAATAGACTTCTGAAAAAAGAGCAAATGAAACTTTCACTTGTCTATTAGAAAAATATAAAGCCAGGCTAAGTAAAGGGAGCACACTGAGTCTTTATACACAGTTTTTAACTTCTAATGGCAAAGTTCACCTGTGATTTAAATGCTAAAGAAAGGACAATTTAACCAATTTTAAGTAAACTCAAATTCTGCAAACAACAGGAAATGTCAGTAAGAAAAGAAAAAAAGATGTTGGGTTTCTACAATGAACTTGAGATGAATCTGAGATTACACTAACAAAATTGAGCTGTGGTATTTAAAATACAGAAATAGTGGGTTAGTTTATTAACATACAATTCCAATACTTACTATCTAATTTCTGTCCTCCTACAAAAGTTTCTAGAGCAGCAGCAAAGTTTTTTTCATGGTATTCACATATCCTGCATGAGCATATTAAAAACAAATACCACACACACGTGAGATCATGAAAAAAGGCTTTCTTTCTAATTAAATATCTTAGCATGCTCTACTGGTAAAAGAAATATTTTAAGTATATGTTAATAAGCCAAGAAGTTTTCTAATATACTGTAACATTAAATATATCTCCCATTAAAACCCTATTTTGGAACTCATTTCAGAAGGAATTTCTTGATTTTAATTATGTACACTTGCTTATTCCAAAATATAGTTACACTAAGAAATTAAAGAAGTTTCTTAAGAATAAAGTTACACTTAACAGAAACAAGCTGGGATATAAAGTACACAGATACAGCGCTTTCACAGCATTAAATGTAGCCTGTCTAGCTTGGTTTAGAAATATATTCTCTAGTCACTTAAATATAGTAAATCCCAAACAATGAACAAAAAGGGATATGAAATCCATCAGTTTCATCTATACCTTGCAATTACTCCAATCATTGCTATTTTAAAAAACACTAGTTATATATCTCCTATCACATACTAACTAGTTATGGAAGTATAAAATTATATTTAAAATTAAATCCTATTTCAGCTGTAAAATGTATTAATAAAATGTATCAAGGGGCGCCTGGGTGTCGCAGTCGGTTAAGCGTCCGACTTCAGCCAGGTCACGATCTCGCGGTCCGTGAGTTCGAGCCCCGCGTCAGGCTCTGGGCTGATGGCTCCGAGCCTGGAGCCTGTTTCCGATTCTGTGTCTCCCTCTCTCTCTGCCCCTCCCCCGTTCATGCTCTGTCTCTCTCTGTCCCAAAAATAAATAAAAAACGTTGAAAAAAAAAATTTAAAAAAAAAAAAATAAAATGTATCAATACAGAATTTACTATTTACATAAAACTTAAAATTAATTCATTCAACAAACTAAACACCTACTATCTATAGTCCAGATTCAATAAGAAGAGTGGTTATTGCATACCCTTTTCTCAGCATAGCAATGGAATTATTTGGATTAAGTTCAAGAGATTTCCTTGCATCAGCAACAGCATCTATATACAAAAAAAATAAAAAAATTTAAAAAAAATGGGGTTTTTAGTCAGTTATTTGTGGATCCTAACAAGTTACATACGGAACTTGAATCAGCCTTAGATTTTTAAGTTTTCAAGTTTGAAAATGGACAAATGCTTCTAAATTAGGAAAAACTAATCCAAGATATAATTCAAAAAACTTTACCCTCATACCTTATGAGCCTAATATTTAGCTTCCTTTTTAAAGCTATTCAGTCAATGAATAAAGCTCTGTGATAAAGTTCATCTAATTTTCTCATTAACATCATCTATGTAATTTGTCTCAAGGTATTTAATTTTTCCCTACCCAGATTCTCTATCCAGAATAAAGTTACACAATACAGAAAGGTATTCTTTTTTTATAAAAATTGCAAATAAGAACATTTCATTTAAATACTCTGTGAAATAGTAAATGTAATGCTATTTTTTGTTAGCATATAAAATAACTACAAATGAAATCCATATAAATTGTCCACCCACTGAAGGAAGAAAAGACACCCAGAACATCTGTTTGGGTGTTGCTCAACAAGTTTGTCATGTTTCAGCTACTTTACATCCTGTATGAAAGACCAATTTAAAAATCCTGAAAGATAATCTCTACTGTGTATGATTCACTGTATCTTTGGCAAAATTTACAACTTAAGAAAAAATACAATCAGTAAGAAAAGTTACCACAGTAATTCCCAAGAAGAATGTAACAATAAGCTCTTTGACAATAATATTCTGCATCATCTGGTTTCTGTTCCAAAGCCTTAGTCAGCTCCTAAAATATAAACATGTTGACTGTTAGTACATGTTTTTTTAAAAGCAACTGAATTCTAATTAAACATGATTTTTAATCAAATAACCTATTATCATAAGCTATTTGGAGAAAAGATAACAGGGAATTACAATAAGTCTGGAGCTTTTCTTTGCAAGAGAGTCGGTATCTCCCCTTCTCCGCTCTCCCCCACCAAAACCTACAATCTAATGTAGTATCTTAGCACAATTCCTGGCCTACAGTAGAAACTCAATAAATGGTAATTATTATCACCTCATTTATTCTGAAGAATTTAGATGATATACATTGACCATCACAGATTTTCTCCTCCTAATTTGGAAAAGACTCAAAGATCATGTAGAAGTTGACATGCCTAGAAAATGCAAAGCTGTCCAATAAAAACAAAGAAACAAACACAAAACCTAGAAGTTAAATCTAGAGCTCAGGGAAGTTAACAGAATCAATAAAGACACAATCAAGCTTATCTGGCCCTCTCCTATCCTGTCAATGGCAGGCAACCCTAAGAAATTACAGCATTCTGTTTAAAACCCAGATACAATATCTCATAGAAAGCTACTATCAATTGATCAAGATTTAACATCAGATTAAAAGTCTGCCACCCTGGGCAGTCAAAAAAGTATGTTAAGTGGTAGCTGAAACGATGCAAGAAGACACAACACGATCACAATCGGCCAACGAGAAATATAGGCCAATAGGAATGCTTTCATTCTCTACCCAGTGCTCACACATCCTAGGGATTTGGTAGTTTTCTTAAAAGGTAAAATCATTTCAAAAGCCACACATCATTAATTTTGCTTTAACCCAGTAGTGTGGTTCTCACAAAGCAATGTATACTATACATGGTAATCATTTACCCAAAATCCAACACACCTAAGATCCACACCATTTTTTACTATCTTCACCTCTACCATCCTGATTCAAGCAATAATGAAAATCAAGATCCGGTTTACATCAATAGGCATAAAATGCTCCAATGTCTTTCGCTGACTCAGGACAAAGGCCCAAGTTCGTCCAGTGACCTGCAATGCCCTCCCTGATACTACCCTCTGCTAGCTTTTCAACCTCCTCTCTTACTACTCTTCCCCTTGTTCGTCTACCCTAAGCAAACTGGCCTCCTTGCTGTTCTTTCAAACACCTTAGGACTCTGCACCTGCTGCTTCTCTCACTGGAAAGCTCTTTCCCCCCAGACATGCACAGAAGATCTATTCCTTTACTTTCTGGTTAGTGATGAGGCTGTGCCAGAGACAGGATTCAAATCCAGTCTGCCTGACTCCAAATATGGTTTTAAACACTGCCTCTTGGTAATGTTGTTCCAAGTATCTTTCACACACCAATGACATTTTATTAATGTGTTTTCCTAACACTTTAAAATTCCTAAGTTAAATGATACCATCTTGCACTAAACTTTCAACAATTTTGAAAAGAGCTAATAGCTTCTTACCTATCTACTCAAATATATCTTCAAACCAAATTTCTAGCCTCTCCTAAGCAAGAAAACAGGTACATTTCAGGTCAAAAAAGCTACTATAAATTATACTAATATCTGGATCATCTAATTGTTTTATTTTTAACGTTTATTTAAGAGTGCGACAGAGGGGGGAGAGGCAGAGAGATAAGGAGAGAGAGAATCCCAAGCAGGCTCCAGGCTGTCAGTGCAGAGCCCGACACAGGGCTTGATCTCACAAACCATGAGATCATGACCTAAGCCGAAATCAAGAGTCAGACGCTTAACTGACTGAGCCACGCAGGCACCCCGGGATTATTAACTTAGAAAGCATTTTTAAACATATGTTACGTAACAAATCCAGGCCAGACACTGGGGGTACAAAGATAATTAAAATTAAAATGGAGTCAAGTAAAAACTTCTGAATTTCAAAGAACCAACTTGCAAATAACCTTTAAAAGCACAAACTAACTGGTTAAGGAGAAACAGTTACGTGATGCAGTTAAATAAAACAACTTACTTGTTAGGCTGTTATTTTTGAAAAGTTACCAAGGGACAGAGCACAAACTGAACATTATGACACAAATTTAAATCATAAACTACAATAACCAATTTACTTTGAATAAGCAATACACAGTATAATAAAACCAGAAAAAGTGAAGTTAAAACAATAATTTGTGGTTGTATGAACTACAACGGACTTGTGGCATGTTTTGAGAGTTCTACTGTTTCTGTGACAACAGTTGTTCACTGCTGGAGTACAAAGGGACTGAAGAAAGGTATCTCAGAAGGCAAGGACTTCAGTGCCAACATTTGAATCATAGTGGCAAAAGGCCATTATGTAATGCAGACCAATGGGAAACATACTGTGAACATGTCCAAAGATATATACTTCCATAAAATTGGTTACGCTATGATCAAGCAATTTATAGTTCTAAAAATAAAGAGACTCAGTGAACTCTAAAGTATAATTACACTGAAATCTTTACCAAGCTAATGACAAAGGAAATACCCTGATAATCCAGAAAAAATAAGGGGAAAAAACCTCCTTTTTAAGGCATTAAAATTGTTTAAAATTTGAACCTGAGAAAATGAATTTCTAAATCTTTCCAGTTTTAGGCTTTGTAAAAATGCTACTCAACAAGATAACTTGTTGTTAAGGTTAAAAGCTAAAGCAGACTGCTCAGAGGGACCTAACTGCTGAAGGTATGTAGCTCTAGGTATCTCAATTTGACTCCATTTCCCTTTTTCTTCTAGCCACGCTAATCCCCAATCACAGATAATAAACAAGAGTGTCAACCCTTCTCCTTTCCTAAACTATCTAGCACTGCTGAAAACAAAAACCACACAACCATGCACAACTGGTAACATTGCACATTTATGCTAACCAGCTACACTCTCAACAAAGCTATCAATGGTCAGTATCTTTAAAGTCAGCTACCAAACCTTTAATTATATTATACATCCCTAGACCTACCTCCTCCTCCAGAGGATGACCTTGATGCCTTGAACCCAGAGACTTATCACTTCTCAACTATATAACCTTGAGCAAGTTAATCTCTTTGGCCTCAGCTTCCTTGTGAGTAAAATGCAAATACCCACCTCAACTGTTCCAAGAATTATGGGGGGGGGAGGAGGGGTGGAGGGTGCCTGGCGGCTCAGTTAAGCATCTGACTTCGGCTCAGGTCATGATCTCATGGCTCGTGGGTTCGAGCACCGCATTGGGCTCTGTGCTGACAGCTCAGAGCCTGGAGCCTGCTTCAGATTCTGTGTCTCCCTCTCTCTCTGCCCCTCACCTGCTCACGCTTTGTCTCTCTTAAAAATGAATAAACGTTTAAAAAAAAAAAAGATGCACAAAACCCCTGCCACCTTAAAGTTTACAATGGGGCCCACTTTAGATAGGATGGTCTAGGAAAAAAAGCTGAGATGACATTTCAGCTGAAATCTCAATAGGTCTTATCTAGTCCCACTTCACAGGAAACCTGATCCAGAGTGACAAGAGGAATTTTCCTGAGGTTATGGATTTATTATGAAACCAGGATTTTGGATCCAAGCACTCTAATTCCAGAGCCTTTGCTTTTTTCTTTCATTTTTTTTTTTTTAATTAAACTTTACCCCCAGTGTGGAGCTCAAACTCATGACCTGAAGATCAAGAGTCACATGTTCTAAGAACTAAGCCAGCCAGGCACCCCCAAAGCCCGTGCTCTTAACTGTTTATACTGGTTCTCAAAAGATCTCATAATCCATACATATGTTTTCTCTCCCTAGTGAGCTGAGACATCCTGTTCAAGTGTTTGACTACCCTAGTTAGTCTCTGCTATGTTCTCAGTGTACTTCATACACCACTCCATTAGAATATTTACCTTATATTTTACTAATCTGTTGATTTGTCTCTGTCTCCACTAGAATGCAAACTTCCTCAATGCAGTCTTTTCATCTTTAGATACCTGACTCCCAGCACAAAATTCACCAGTAATGTATATTGTATACTGAATGAATGAAAAAGGTGAATCAGCTTGATACATTTCCCCTTTAATCCTAATTGGATAGTCTTATATAAAAATATAACATTTTAGGGGCTCCAGGGTGGCTCAGTTGAACATCGGGCTCTTAATCTCAACTCAAGTCATGATCTTGCAGTTTGTGAAATCAAGCCCCACATAGAGTTCTGTGCTGACAGCTTGGAGCCTGGGGATTCTACCTCTCCCTCTGCCTCTGCCCCTCCCCCACTGGCTCCTGCAGTCTCTCTCAAAATAAATGTAAAAAAAAAAAAAAAGTTAACATTTTATTGATATAACATCAAGTGTCCTGATCCTGAATTTCAAAATGACTAGTTGACTCTTGAACAATGAGGTGTGTTAGGGGCACTGACCCTCACACAGTCAAAAATCCAATCTAACTTTTAACTCGCCAAAAACTTAATCCATAGATTTCTATTGACCAGAAGCCTGACTAATAACATGAACAGTCAACTGACACATATCCTGAATGTTGTATGTATTATATACTATATTCCTACAATAAAGCTAGAGGAAAAAAATTAAGAAAATCACAAGGGAAAAGCATTTACAGAAAGGTATGTGCTGGGACACATCCATGTATAAGTGGGCCAATGCAAACCCATGTTGTTCAGGGGTCAACGGTACTGCTAAACCAGCCCTTGAGAAAGTCTAGAGAGAAACAGCCTCTCATCAAGGTTTCAGGCTTACTTATCATTACCAATTACTTAGTAACTAACATTTACCTGTTCATCTTTATGAGAAGGTCTTCTCAAGCTTTAAAAAGAACACTTCCTCTTAAAACAACTGGTTCTCCCCACTCCCAGTTTCTGACTCAGGTAGGTGGGGTGGGTCCTGAGAATGTGCATTTCTAGCAAGTTCCCAGGTAATGCTGCTACAGGTGGTCTGGGGAGGATACTTTTGAGAATTACTTTCTACAACACTAGACTCAGTGTGGAAATTTGTGTCCTGAGGGCCCCATTCTGCCTCTAATTGGCTATATACATCTTTGTGACAGATCATTTGGATTTCTTTGGGTCTGTTTTCTTCTGTAAAATGGAAGGGTACGTACTAGACCACATGAAGTGTAAGAACTTTGAGTCCATCTGAGGTGGGGCCCGAGCATTTGCATTTCTAATAAATTCCCAGGTGACGCTGATGCTTCTGGTTCAAAAGCCACAGTTTAAGAACCAAGGTACTAAAGCTAACCACATGCCTATTCTATGCAATTTCGTTCTTAGGTATATACCCCCCAAAACAAAGTGCACGTGTTCACCAAGGTACACGTACAAGGAAATTCACAGTGGCTTTACTCATACTAGCTAATAACTGGAAATAACCTAAACATCTACTGTTAGTATAAACTGTTTTTGTTT